TTTTTATCAAAGAATGCATGGTCGAAAACAAAACGCAAAAGAGCTGGCACATTTGGAAAGTTGTTTCACGCAAACATGAAAGCTCCATTCCTGTTGCGAGTTATTATTTGCATGTTCTGGGAGGAAGAAGAGCTCGTCACCATTCATACGTAAAAGCTGTTGATTCGAGGAGTGCATTGTCAATCGTGGTAGTGACGCATCTGAAGATGTTGTTAATAAGGACAAAGCCGATATGTATTTTGTTTATGGAACTGCAAATCGAAATAGCTTCAGAGGCTGTACGGAGAACCCAACAGACGGTTGCCCAAGCGTAAAACATTTCAGGGCTCGCACCGACAGTTGTGTGAGATGGGATCCTTTCTTTCAGCCCGTTCACGGACGGACGGAATGGTGGCTGATCAGCCAAGTACACGAGCGGTGGCTAGACAAGGTATCGCAATCCACCACAACATGTTCAACGAGTCCATTGACTGACTCAGAGTGATTATCCTAGTCGTTTCTCCAGAAGAATCCTGATTTTGTTGCAACTTTTATTTTCACGGATGAAGAGAGTTCGTGGGTTCGATCCCCGCCTGCGAAGACTCTCCGTGTAGTCAAATGGTGACTGATACACGTTAAATATGTCGAGTCCTCCATGTTCCCATAACAAATTAAAACCTCTGGGGGTACTGGATTGGAGATCGATCGTTCTCTGGTTCAGGTCAAAACTACGATCTGTGAATGAACGAATGAATGGATGTATGAATGGGTTCGCCCTATAAACGGGTGCGACGAATGGGTGTGGCAGAAGGCGAATTCTTGGCCATAGATGGCGCCACTGGAAAACAAGAACAATCGCACCCCTCTGCCTAAACAGGCATACGAAACCAAACAACATTTTTATATCATTTTAACATTTTGTATAAATATTATCGGGATCCAATCCAAAAGGAAAAAATCTTGAAAGAGAGTATCGTACAATGACATGTCGCTAACTGTGAAGTCACTACCATCAAGATTAAAAAGTGTTCCTATGCTACTTATAAGTTAAAAGACACAAACTCTCAGTAACCGAAACTTTATGCTTAGAATTTTCGCCTCTGAAAATATAAGTTGATAACTTCAGTTTAAAAAATAGTCAGAATTGTATTCCTTTCTGTCCATTTTTTTAAAAAAATTTTTTACATCACGAAAATTAGTTTCAAAAATAATTCTTACTTCCGTTTATGAAACTAGTTAACCCAAAGATATTTTATGGAATGAATATTGCCTTAGAAATGTTTAATATTTTAATTTAGGCACTTTTTAAACAACTTGATATACAAGCTCGTATACTAACAATACCCGCAATTTGAAAAAACATATTAATTGTATGACTCTAATGATATAAAAATGTGAGTAAGTTGTACTTTCTTATCAGTATTTCTCGTGGGTTTTTCAACCCATTTTGTTTACATTTTATCCATACCAATCATGTCTTCTAAGAGGATGTAAAATGTTATGCTTTTTGTGTTAAAATCTTCTATAAAGTATAATAAAATATTTATTGAGAAGTCTTCTTCCCTGTTGGAGAGATATAAGACAAAAACGACAAAAAGAGAATTAAAACGCGAACATCCAAATCTTACATTGTCTTAATTGTTTGGTTCTTCTGCAATTTAACCACAACTAATAAATTTTTGCCTATTGCATCTCAAATATCTACCTATTAAAAACTGAAAAGGTGGACCATCCTTCTTATCAAAATCTTCATTCATTCAATAGTATATAGTGAGAAATGATGGCTCAGGAAATACACTTCACAATGAGGTGAAACAGGTTCGATATCAGAGTGATATCTTTTTATTTGATCACTGTTTTTATACTTACAGGCATTTTTAAAAAAAAAAAAATTTTGAAATGATTTCATGACAAGTTTGCCAGATTACAAAATAGGAAAATAGAAGCGTGAATAGAGGATGGAGGGCGCGTACTCACAGTACAGAATCAAGTTTGATTCAGTAGTTACCGAATCTGGATGTGCGCAAGGTAATAAAATTATACTGGATAATTCGAAGTTTATAACCCATAAGGTGTGGTGGCACAGGGGATAGAACGTTTGCCTCCCAGCGATGGTGGGTAGATACGAATACGCGCATCGACCACAAGTAAAATATCCTCAGGGGTTGGCGGATGGTTTCCGTGGTTTTCCTCTCTATGTAACGCAAATGCGGGTTAGTTACATTGAAAAGTGCTCGACGAAGGTAAATTTCTCACACTACTAGATCCAGGAGTTCCCTTGTCTTCTGGATTGGGTTCAGAATGAGAAGGTTCAACAGGGGTAGTCGTAAACCCAATTCAACGAGGGATATAAAATAAAAAATTAAATAAGTCTATATTTAAGGTGAGTTTAAAGAAGACAATTCCATTCCAGATCCCCCCGGTCCACCCTCCTGTCCGTCGATTACAGACTATGATGGTGTGAGTGTGAGCCTGTCTTGGGATGCACCAGTACAGGATGGAGGTTCCAGAATCCAGGGATACCAGGTTGAGTACTGTGACATGGCCGATGGAAGGTGGAAAGTGGGGAATGAGTATCTGGTGAAAGAAACACACTTCACAGGTACACACACACACAGCATTCCTTTTTTTGATTTTATGTGTTCATCAAATCATGATAACTAAAATGTTGTTGTTGTTACAGTTCCCAATTTGAGTGAGAACCACGACTATCAATTCCGGGTGAAAGCGAAGAACGCAGCTGGACTGGGCGAAGCGAGTCAACCCACTGCTACTTTGAGACTCAAAAAGAAATTCAGTAAGAAACAATTTATTTAATTGTCATTCCACCATTTTCAATCAAAGATATCCAAAGGCCGGTATAGCCTGGTCGGTAGGATGCTGGGCTCATGTCCAAGAGGTCGTGGGTTCGATCCTCGCCGGCCGAAGACTCCCCGTGTAGTAAATGGTGACTGATGCACGTTAAATCTGTCGAGTCTCAAAGTCCTCCATGTTCCCACAACAAATCAATACCTCTGGGGGTACTGAT